TCCAGATGCCCTCGGGGTGATTTCTCCTCAGGTCCCGTCAGTTGCGGTTGGTCATAGATGTTGCAGCAGGATGGAAGACTGGACAAACAAGTTCTAGCCCGGCCAGCCCCTGCCAGAGGCTAAAGGAGAAGGAAGGGTGAGAAGCCAATTGTGTCTCCCCATATAGTAAGAGCCATGCATGCTGCTGAAAGTTAATCACTAGCCAGGTCCAGGGAGACACAGCTCCTTTCGAATAAGGGCTGGGTGAGAAGGCGATCCTAGGTTGTCAGAGAGCCCATCCAGTGGGTATCAGGAGGCAGAACTGGACTTGGAATCCAGTCTCTAGTTCTCATTCGACTCTAACCAGCTGTGTTTCTCTGGGCAGGTTACGTCAACTCTGGACCTGTTTCTACATCAGCAACACGAGACTGGGCCAAGTCCAAGGTCAGTACATCCTTATAGGAGACTTCATTACTCTGCGTTCTTGAAAGAACATTGAACTGCTTCTGTTGGTGTTTTTGAGGTTGGTTTGTCTGTAAGTACTTTTTAAAAGCAACATTCTTCACCCCTGACAATAACCTTTCCCACCCCTCCCTCTTCCTCCCTCCACCTGTTAGACTTAACCAGGGAGTAATCCATCCTCCACTATCCCCACCTTCAAAACACCACATGAGTACCAAGTAGGGATAGGAAGGGCCAGAATATTCAATTTTTTGTTGCTGTTAATCCTCACCCAAGAATATTTTTCCATTAATTTTTAGATAGAGTGGGGGGAAGGGGTGGCACATGAGAGAAAGACAGACAGACAGACATGGATTGTGAGAGAAATACATGGATTGGTTGCCTCCTACACAACCCCAACCTGGCCTGGGATTGAACCTATTACCTAGTTATGTGCCCTTGACTGGGAACCAAACCTGAGACCCTTTGGTGTGCAGGCTGACGCTCTAACTGCTGAGCCAAACCAGCTAGGGCTCAAATGTTTTTTTGTTTTTGTTTTTGTTTTGTTTTGTTTTTTATCCTCACCCGAGGACATTTTTTCCATTTTTTGTTCAGATAGAGTGGGAGGGAAGAGAGAGAGAGAGAGAAACATCGATATGAAGAGACACATCGAGTGGCTGCCACCCGCACGACCAACCAGGGCCGGGGACAAACTGCAACCGAGGTACGTGCCCTTAGCGGGAACCGAACCCGGGTCTCTCTGTACCGCAGGCCGACGCTCCAACCGCTGAGCCAAACCGGCCAGGGCAGGGCTCAAATGTCTTTTTATATAACCAATGCTTTCCTCAAATTTCTAAAGAAATGAATTGTCTGAGAATAGCTTAGCTACTACTAGCTGACTTCGCTCAGTAGGTACATGGGCATCCCAGCTAATGATGCTGTGACTTTAGTTCAACCACCGATGCATCCTTACTCAGTGTTCCTAGCAGGAAAGGGACAAGTGTGCTCCTTTACTCACGAATGTCCTGTCACTATCTCCCAGGCTCCTGGCACATTGGAACAGCATGAGCTCTCCTCCAGCTCTCTTCATCTTTCAATTTTTTTTTTTTTTTTTTTTTTTGGTACGTGCCCCTAGCGGGAACTGAACCCAGAACTCTCTGGTCCGCAGGCGGATGCTCCAACTGCTGAGCCAAACCGGCCGGGGCTCCCTTCATCTTTCTTGATGTAGAATTCACTTCATTGGTTTCAGTAGGATCCATCATTGGGGTGTATTGTCTTAACAGAAGGAGGGTGTGTGTGTGTTTGTGTCCATGTGTGTGGGCACCTTGAGACAATAGTCCCCATAGACCTTACCGATCGCTGGGCTGTTACTTGAGTACCAGGGCTTGACAAATTGTCAGAAACGTGGACATTCTGAAACAGTTTAAGGAAACCGCTTACAATGATTCAGGGACCAAGAAAGAAAAGTCCAGTGCTCCTGAGTTCCCACGTCTGTGGGACCTGTTCTCAAATGTCTCTTTTGAGTATTGAGTGTCTCGCACGGGCCACGTACAGTGTTAGTGCTACCGAGATACAGATGAATCAAACAAACCTGTCCTCAGCCTGGCAGTGCTTATGGTCCAGGGGGAGGGGTCAGACACATCCCCAAGATGTCAATACAAACCATACTGCGAGAGGTACAAAGGCAGGGGGCTCAGAAGCCAGGAAAACACCCACAGTTAGAAGGGTCAGGAAAGGCTTTGTGAGAGAATGTCATTTGAGAGAGATGTAATGTTTTTCAGAAGTGGAGTTGGGGGTTTCCAGAAGACTCCATCACAACCATGGGGGCAGGGAAAGGGGACGTCTTCCGAGTAAGTGAGCCCTGTAGGGTAAGGACTTTGCAGAAAATGGGTCTGGAAAAGTGGACCGGCACCCCAAATGCCAGGTAGAGGAGTTGCCATTGAATTCAGCAGATTGTGGACAAGCCCCTGGAGGGCTCTGCACTGGATCCTCTGCTGAGGACATGTGTACACTGCCCTTGGCTGGAAGGGGACAGCCAGATTCCTGCTCTGGGTCAACTCCATGCACTTCAGCACATCAGAGCGGAGAAGGTACCCTGCATGAGGCACACCACAGGTGGAAATGATGGTGAAGTGACATCAGACCGTGTCTTTAAGAGCCTTGCAGTTTGGGGACAAAGAAAAGAGAGGCAAAGGGGGAGATTAGACAAGGATAGCTTGAACCACAATACATGACATGAGCTGTGAAGGAAGCATCGTGGAAGTGTTAGCGAAGTGCTCAGACCTTCCTAATGGGGCTGTGCCTGGCCTTCCATTCTGTTTGTCAACACTAGACCGCAAGCTCCTCGGGATGAGGGCCAGGCCTTCCTTGTCTTTGCATGGCCTGGGTCTGTCTCAGTGTGTGGCACTTGGTAGACAGTCCCTAAAGGAAGGGAGGGAGTGCAGGAGGGGGGAGGAATAACTCTCTCATCATGTATCATCTGCTGAGTTGTCTGTCTTTAAGTTCACCTAGCACTGCCTACCTTTGGTTCATACTGTCCCTCTCTTGTCCCACCCATATTTGCTCACCTCAGTCCTACCTCCCTGGTAGTACCAGCCCACACTAGCTCCCTGGACCCGGATCCTTCAGTGATCACAGGGTCTGTGCTGCATAATTTAAGCCCCCATGTTCCTTACAGCTGTCCTGTAAACTCCTTGAAGGCAGAGTCCCCTTCTTAAATGATTGCATCCCCCGCAATACCTAGACTACCTTACGGTTGATTGGTTGGGAAATAAGGCCCATCACAGGAGGAGAGGGCAGAAACTGACATCCTGGAGGTGGGGCCCTGTGCCTGCTGTGCATGCATTCACAAGAGCCTGGAGAGTGTGGCTCTGGGGGACAGCACTGTTTTGCTCTCTGAAAGCAGAGTCAGAGGCCCCTGTACTCATGGCTCTCCTCTGAACACAGAAGAGGGGAAAGCGTGTCTGTCCTGCAGTGTGTGAGGCAGATGGAAGGATGTGACGGATATGAATTAAGCACTGGAGTGGAAGCTGTGAACCACCCTCTCCGTGCATCCTTAAAAGGGGATCGCTAACCAACTCAGGCTGCGGGATACGCAGGCCTCCTCCCTGGCCTGTCTTTGTCAGGGTGACAGGCAGGAAAGGAGAAACCTTTGGGTGTAAAGTGTCTTAGAGAAAGTGTGAACTTGCTCTTCTGCTCTATGATTTGAACATCAAGTGAGCAAGGTTCAGGGAGATTAGCTGACGGTAGGGAGACCAATGTTCCTGTGTAGAAAAATGAGGGACTCTCATTACCATCAGCTCCTTTCCCCAAGAATTATGTATTCTATGGACAAGAAATGGACTCCCAAACCTTTTCAGACCTTTCAATGAAAGGCTGATGCAACTCCTGCCTTTGACTGTGTACTCCTCACAGTAATTAATGTGTTCTGCAGAGGGGCTGCCTCCCTAACTGGATTGTCTGCGTTGGTGTCAAGCCCAATTATTCCTCTAGGATCTCCTGAGAGTAAGTGGTCACATTTCCTAATTTAGTCATTATAACAACCCTGTAAAGTAGGTGCTATGATTACCTCCCATTTTCCAGATGAAGAAACCGATAACTCTGAGTGGGTAAGATGCACACCCAAGAACAGACAGACTGTAAGGAGGAGTTCTTTCCATGACATTCTGCTGCTCAAATGAACTATGTAGGCTGAACAGGGCGTCTGCTCAGTCTTTCCCAGTCGCACATCTTATCCCATGGAACAACGTGCATTTTAGTATTTCAGGGGCAGGCACACTAGGTCCAAGCTTAGTACACGGTGAATAACTGTGTGGATGCATTCATTGTACAGCGAATGCTCTGTATGGAGTCAGTGGGAAAAAACAACTTAAGGGCAGGGAGAATCTTTCAGATCATTCATAGGGCGCCTACTGGGTGCATGTGGCATTGAAGAAGCACGACTGCTCTGCCCTCATGGGCCTTACAGTCCATTGCAAGGGACAGGCGTTAAACAACTAATACTACAGTAAACTAATGACAGTTTTGTTACATGCAACTACATGTAGCAGGAAGAGCCATCTGGCCTCCCTGGAGGAAGGCTGGTCTCTTTAGGCCCCGGGGATACATTTGGATAAGCAGAAGCAGGAGTTGAGGCAAATTAAAAGGGCAAAAGGAGGAAGAAAACTGCATCTTACAAACAGAACTTGACCTGAGGGCCCCCAACTCTCCAGTCCCACTGCCTGCTTAGGGAAACCGGAAAAGAAAAAGCCAGCAAAGTGAGAGGTCAAGTTCCCTGCCCAGGGCGGGCCGGCTGGGAGAAGGAGAGATGTGAACCAGCAGGGAAGGAGTTAAGCAGCCCACTCAGACCGAAAGGGTTAAAGAGAGGCGGTTCGGAGCTCATAGGCCCGCCCACCGGAGGACGGGGGCGGGGCCTCGCGGAGTGAGCCCTGGGATTGGCCGCAGGGCCGGCGTTACGCTAGGACCGTACCAACAGTGGGGCGCCGCGGAGGCGGGGGTGGGTGTGGGACAGCCGGCTCAGTGCGGGGAGAGGTGGCCGGGAATGGCCCGGCTGGGGGTGGGTGGGAGCCCCAGAAGCGGTGGCAGTGGCGGCTGGGAGCGGTAAGCACCGCGCTTGTGGAGTGGCCCCTCCCCGGAGGTGGCCGGGGTGGCCTGGCCGCACCGCACGGCGCAGGTGGCCATGGAGCAAGCGTAGAGCCCCGCAGGTGAGCGGCTGGGGGTTGTGGAGGTTGCGTGACCCCCGCCAGGGCGCAGCAGGCGGGAAAGTGCGGGAAAGTGCGGGCAGCGCGCGGGGGGCAGGGTGCGGTGCGGTGGCGCTCTGGGCTGGGGCCGCTTGGGGGCGGGGCGCCTCCCTGAGGAGAGGAGCGGGCACCGGTGCCCGGAGCGTCTCCCGCGGGGGCAGGTCCCGAACGTAGAGCCGCCCGGGCCTCCTGGGGTGGTGGGCTGAAGGGACCTGGCCTCCGCCAGCCAGCGCCTCCTCGGCTCGCCTCGGGCGTGGGCCTTACCTGGGGACGCCCGGGTCCACCCGGAGTCAGCTAAGGACCAGCCCTTGCGCCTGGCTGTGGCCGCTTGTGGCGGCTGGCACCCGTGCCGCCCTCGTGTCCCGCGGGGCGCCCGATGCCCTGGCCGGGGACGGTGCGGTGCCCGCTGGCCCTCTTCGGGGTGGGAAGCACCAGTGACCTGCAGGCCCCAGGCGGGAGGCGGGGTAACCGAGCCCAGGGCCGTCTCCTCGGGGTCCTGCGCCCTGCGCTTGCCGTCGGAGTGGCTTCAGGGAAGGATGCGGTGGCTCCAAGTGGGTTGCGCTTGAGATTTCACTTCCGGGTGTGACGGCCCTGCGATTAAGAACCCAAACCCTGCCGCTGATGATGAATGCCAGTGCCCGTCAGGCTGCGTCCCTGGATGCGGGTCCGAGGAGACTAGTTCTCATCAGACTGCTGTCACCTGCAAGTCCCCCGGGAGCAAGAGGCCGGGCAGAAGGAAGTTGGAGGGAAAGTGAAGAGCTCGGGGCATGATTGGTCAGGACGGAATTCTTGGTGCTTTAAGTGTCCGTCTCGGCATTTGGGTGGCTGGCGAGTTTATCGTTTGGGAAAGTGAGGGATGCCTGGTACCCCGACTTGAGTCCAGGGCCAGGTATCCGTCTCATCTCCACCCAGCCAGTTTCTCTCCAGCGGTTTGATTTCTCACCTTGAAAGTGGGGATTGTGGGATCTTTTGGCTTTTAACTTGTAGGACTTTATAAGCCTGTAATCTAGTCATTAAGGTTGCCGTTTAACAATTATTCCTATTCTTCGTGCGTTGGAAATTAATGCGTAGATTTCATTGGAGTTGATTTGTTTTAATCGCGTTCCAGACTTCATTGTGCTTGTGTTTTACAAACACTCCTTGAGTTTTGCAGGACCTTTGAGCGGAGACTTACAGCGCTCCACATATGGGGGTGGGGGCAAAGGTAGCTTTGCAGTTGTTGGTATGGAAAAGAATACAGTAATTAATAAATAATAATGCAAGAGTAAACTCTGCGTTTCCTGTGCTCACAACTGTAAACCTATCCTGTATATTGTCATTTATTGCCAAGACATGTCTTTTGGGAACTGAGGTGCAGGTGTAAAGATGCCAACTTGTTCGCCCAGACTCGGAGCTGAACTAAGGTAGATTTAAAATTAAATGAATGTTTTGTTTTAAATTAATAACTTTTCTAAAGTTTGTGAAGGTGTTGGACTTTGGCCCCTAGAACCATACAGTGGACTCAGTCAACAGGCAGGCCTTCCGCATTTGAAAGTGCTTATCAAAGAATGAAAAGGCACAAGCAAGTAATTCAGACTCTTAGCCTCACAGTAAAGAGCAGTGATAGAAATGGATGGAGGTAAAAGATGGTGGAGAAATCTTGGAGCTCATGGCATTCCTTCAGTGTGGCTGGTGACAATGTGGCTGGTGACAATGTGGCCTTCATTTGTTCTGTTCTTCTGGGACCAGTGGGAAAATAGCTACGATTTGGTTAAGAATGAAATCTTGAAAACACATGCTCTTTTCTTTCTGGGCACTTTGAATTTTGGAACGAACAAGTCGCTGTTTACTGTTTCTATCATCTAATCCTTTATGTCATAGAATTACTTTATATTGAATTGATAATTCCTTGACTTTCAGCCTGTTCTGTTCTCTTAATTCCATTTGTAGTCTCCAACTCTTTCACACAGCCTTAAAGCTTCTGCTCTTTATCTTTTCTGAATTTTTAATTTCTAAATGAAATTTTCTTTCTTTCCTTTACTTGCAGGGTAGACTTCAGCTTCCCACACTTTGTGTGACCCATCATTTTAATGGTGTCAACCCTGAAACCAGGTACTTCAGCTCGTGAAATGATAACTTTTAAAAGAATTCTCACCTGAGGATATGTTTATTGATTTGAGAGACAGATGTAAGACAGAGAGAGATCGATATGAGGGAGAAAAATCCATCAATTGCCTCCTGTACATACTTTGACCGGGATCGAACCTATAACCTAGGCATGGGCCCTGACTGGCAATTGATCCCGCAACCTTTTGGTGTACAGGATGATGCTCCAACCAGCTGAGCCATCTAGCCAGGGAAAATTGATAACTTTTTACAATAGTAACCACAGTGATTGTCTCTTGGTGATTGCTGCAACCATACAGAATCAGGAAGCTGCTCTTTGTTTTCTGTGGCCATAGTTACAGTCATTAAAAAGGAGACAGTCTTTTGAAGCTGATGTCAGGTCACTCGGGGACCAAGATCTGTGGTTTTGTTGTAATAGTGGTGATAACTGAGGTACTCTTCTCTCTGTACCTAACTGTGCATATAGCACATAGTAGATGTGCAGGAACTATTTGGTAGTTGAACTAATGAATGGAAAATGGTATGAGGGAAGGGAAAAAATTTGAATGCATATACTAAATTGTTTAGTTTCTCTTTTTGTGTAAAAAAAAAAAAAAAGCCAAGAAAATGTGTTTCAGATTCCTGTTGAAAATATGCTGTTGAGGTGGGTATCTGTAAAGGGTGGTACTTGCCGTAGCTGCCCTGAGACTAGATTGTGTGACTGTATGATGTTATAGCCACCTGCAGCACAGGAGCAGCCTGTGTTGCTCCCAGCAGGTGCAGCTTCACAGATCTGACTGCAGCCTTCTCTACGTAGGCTAACTGGGTAGTTAGATTGGTAGTCAGCATTTTTGCATAAATAGAAGACCTATAGCTCTTGGTAATGGCCACACCAATAACATTGACCCTGACTGTCCAACTTCTTGTCCCTTATATTGGGAGGGAGTAGGAGAGAAGATGTTATACCTCCCTGAGTACTTCTCCAGCAGCTCTTCATGCCACACCTATCTTTCTTTTCCTTCCTTGAACTGCCTCTGTAACCCCCAAGGACTAAGGAATTCATTAGCACAGACCTGGGGTACAGAACAGGAGACCTTACTCTGCGACTGAAACTAGCTTCTGAACAACTTATAATGTCAGCATGACTGCTAGAGGCATCTAGGAGAGAATATAATGCAGAGATCTAACGTACAATTTTATCTTTCTTACCCAAAAGTAAAAAAGGAAAGACCTAGCTATGGACCTGATAAATCTTAGGGGTGCATCGGTCATCCCAGTATAAGATAAGAAATGGAGGCTGATGTAGAAAAGAGATAGTAAGCTTTGGTGTGTGTTTGGGGTCTGTACTTTCTGGGAAGGTGGTAACAAACGACCCTATGGAGGGGAGGGTGTTAATTTGGGTACATTATGAAAGGAGGGCAAGGAATCTGAAATTATGAAAGTGTAACACAGCCAAGTACAGGTGGGGCAGTGAAGTATCATTCCATGCTCTCAAATGCTGACTTTCTGCTTTATGTGTACAGCAGGTCCTCGTGTATCTACTGTTATTAGCGAATAAGGTATTATGTGCAAAAATTATTATTTTAACTTTACTTTTTGTGGACAAAATTTTTACCATGTATTATATGCTTTGTTTGCTTTTTAAGCAATATAGTTTAACCTTTGTTCTGTTGACTCAAGGTCATTACTAGCATCCATTACTGACAGTAATGGAGTGGGGCTTTGAGGTGCCTGCAAATATGCAGGTTGTTTGCCCCGTCTGCCTTTTGAATTCTTGAATCTGCTTTTTATAGTCAATCTGTCTCTTCTTTCAGAGGTGGGAAAGCTGTGCTTTTGCTGTTAGTGTCCCTGCTGCTCTCTTTTTAGTTCACAGCTTCTGATCTTCTGTGGAGTAGCAACCCAGATAACTCGGCTTCCTAAAATTGAATGTAAAACAGCTAAACAGGTTTAGTGAGGATCTGCAGCCTCTTCCCTGTTAATGGGTGAACTTTGTAACCACTACTTTGGCTGCCCAAAGACCTTTTGTTTATTTCTTGTTTCTTATCCTCGATTTAGACAGTGAACTTGAACTGTGTATAGGTGCGTTTATGTTCCTGTAGTCCTTTCTGTAGAAATAGAAAATGATATGGAAGTACTGGTGTTGGTTCTCATTTCAGAAAGCATTGCCAATACTACTGGAATCTCTGGTTCCAGCCCTGTCTTGTATCACTCCTGGGCAGTGTCTTGGACCATCTCCAGTCTTCCTGTTAGCATTTCTAGATCATCTTTACTCCCAGTCCCAACCAGTGCCAGGGTCCAGGTTGACAATAGCATTGCCTTGAAAGCTGGGAGCAGAGTATACAGGAGGCAGCAGTTTCAAATTGAGTGTATAAAATTATATACATACTTACTGTTACTGCACTTTTTTTTACTGTACTGTGTCTGGATTCATTTTAGGACTTAGTTTTCCTATGTCTGTAAAAAGAGGCCATCTATAAACCAAAGAGCCGAAGAAATTCTTATAACCATTAAAGTCTCTCCTCCTTGCTCTTCATTCCTTTTATTCAGCAAGCTTTTATCGAATACCTCTCGTGTGCCCTGCACTGTGCTAGCTTACGTGGAGGTACAAAGAGAATAAAACTTACCCCGTGTCCTTAAGGAACTCACAATAGTAGAGATAAGCATACTAAAAAAGTGTGTGTGTGTGTGTGTGTGTGTGTGTGTGTATTCAAGGGATCATGGCTGTAGCTACTCAGCCATAACTCAGCACAGACCTGCTTGAGATTCTGTTTCTAAAGTGATTTGTGGCCTGTCAGCTTGACCCCACCCCAAAACATAAGTTTAAAAAATATGAAGTGTTATTATTGCATAAAGTTTATATACTTTCCAAGAACTGTAGT